AATACTTTTACATACACAATACTGCAGTACCAGTAATAACAAACACTAATCTATGTGTCAGGGAGCTCTGGTAGCATAGTGCCTAAGGCACTTGAGTGCTAACCAGAAGGCTGGTAGTTCAAACCCACCAGCCACTCCTCGGAAGGAAGATGGGGCAATCTACTTCCATAGTGATACTGCCTCGGAAACCCAAGGAGGGGTCGCTATGAGTCGGGGCCGACTCGATGCCACACAACAACAACAACAACAATCTTATATGTCAATATTATAGGTAGAAAAGCAAGATGCTAAGGTATGGGCAGGCAAATGGGAAAATACTCATGACCATACACAGATTTGTTACTTGTATGGGCTATAAAAATATACATATATATTAATAGAGCTAACAGGGAGCAAAGTAATGATGACTTCTTAGACACAACCAAGTACCTTGAAGGAGTAGGTCACTAGGCCTGATGGATGGCCTTGGGACCATCGTTGTGAGTGACATCAAGATTATTTGGAATAACAGTACACAAAAACATTTTTCTACATTCTACTTTGGTGAGTAGTAAATGGGGTTGTAAAAGATGCCATCTAAGATGCAACTATAGGTCTCTCCTTGTGGAGAGCAAACAAGAGTGAAGAAATCGAAGATGCATGGAAACAATTAGTCCAAGACACTAGCGGATTATGAGAACATCAGCCTACATGACCCTATAACCAGAAGAATTAGATAATGGTCGGTTACCACTGTCAACCACTTGGAAAAGGAGCAAAATTAGACATCCTGGTGGGAGTGGGAGAAAAATGTGGAACAAAATCAAAATCATAAAAAAGTTAAGGCTTATGGGTCTGACAGAGACTGATGAAGCCACAAGACTATGACTCCTAGTTACCCTTCAGGTCTGGAACTGAACTCAAACTTTCAGCCAAACAACAGAAAGGCCTGTGAGGTGAAGAGTAACACCAGGGAGGTATACTTCCATAGAACAATCAACGATGGGAGATGATAAGGGCAGCATTTGCTCAGGGAGAAAGCTCAGAAGGCAGGAATGCAAAGGAAAGAACACCACAGGGAAAAGGTAAACACAGGAAGGAAGTGAGATGAGAGCTGTTACATGTGGGATTGCAATCAATATCACAAAATAAAATGTGTATAAACTGTTGAATGGAAAACAAATTTGCTCTGTAAACTTTCACCCAAATTACAACAAGAAGGGAATGGCTGTATTAATTTAAGATAACATAACACAGAAATCCTCTGTCTGGCACATTTAAATTGCACTATAGCTCTGACAGTGCAGTGTCTAAGGCATTTGACTGCTAATGAGAAGGCTGGTGGTTCAAACCCACCAGCCACTCCTCAGAAGGAAGCTTGAGCAATCTACTTCCATAGTGATACTGTCTTGGAAACCCAAGGAAGGGTTGCTATGAGTCAGATCCAACTCAACAGCACTGAGTTTGGTTTGGTTTTTTATATTGAAATATGGCCAAAACTAAGAAACAAAAAAGTAGAATGCCACTGTCAGCCCCTATACATGATGTAACTCACATTATTTCTAGGGAGATACTCATACAATCTGTGAGATAAAACATCTAGATAAAAGGATAAAGTTAGGGCACCAATATCAAGCCATGTACAAAAGATTAGTACAGCTTAGTTTCTAAAAATTTTAGATTAAGACTGTAAACAGAAGTCCTAACAACTTATTCTCACATCAAGAGAAATGTACTTTGTATATTTTGGAAATGCTGGTCTAGAGCACTAATATCCTCCCATCTACAAGTCTGATGGACCATTCCTCTTCTTATATGATCACCTCTTCTGATGCTGTAAGTAACTTCCTAGTTATTAATACTAATCACTGGTAGGCAGCTGAAATGACCATTAAAATTTAATAGATTCTCCATAGTTTAAATCTTTTAAAGAAAAGCAGAATAGAAACAAAACAAACCAACAACTATATTTCTGTTTCTATTTGCAGAATTCAGGCTTGAAGAAACTCAACTTCTCTTTCTTAAAGTAATAACTGAAGTTCATCTTAAAGAAAAATAGGTATTCTTGCAAAGATGAATAATAATTCTACAGTTAATCGCTTTATCAGCACCTGAACTCAAATTATTTGATCCCAATATAAAGACTAAAATTAAGAATACAATCAATAATATCATAAACTAAAAACTATAAGCTTAACAAATTTGTAGCTTAAAGTTTGTTGATTTTTCTGTGTTTTCTATAGAAAGACTTCCTTCTACAAGTGAAAAAGAAAAGGATGACTCCCATGGTTACTATGCCCAAACCTGGTCTGGAATCTAGGTCACAGGTCAAGTTTTTTCCATTATTGTCAAAATGAAGATATGGGTAAGGAATTAGTAATAGCACGGTACAAAGAAAAGTAAGGTAGGACTCAACAAAACAAAAACTGAGGCAGAAAGGTAGGAGACTACTGCTCATGGTCATTGTGGTTTCTTAAAAATACCATATTCTTGGGGCTTTACTTGGACAACACTGTCTTCTCCTTGGAAACAAAGTCCACTCTCAGTATCTTTCAGTATGATAATTTATGTAACTTGATGGTTTCACATGACATTATTTCCTTTGTTTCCCACTAAAGCGTTCAACTAAACCGAAAGCAGGACAGGATGAAGCAGATGTGGGCAACAACTCAATGACTCAAAAGTACAATACAGCTGACAAACCTACTATGTTTTTTTGATGATATTAACAGAATGCTTGCAGAACAACGGATGCACTTCCTCCCTCTACAAGTATCATCTTTAAGACTATTTCAACTAGTTTTGGCTATCATACTCTAAGAAAGTATAACAGCTCTCCTGCAGAAGAAAACCACCAGGGTGGTAAAGAGGAATCAAAGGGAGACCATATAAAAAACAGCTTAAGAAAAATTGTTTGTTTAGTCTGGAAGTATTTTTAAAATTGGAAGGGTGTGGGAGATGGAGAAGCAGCAGAAAAGTAATTAGACTAGCTTATCCAGTTTCATGTAACAGAGCTGGGGTCACTAAGCAAATGTTTTAGAAAGACACATTTTGGATCACCACAAGGAAAGCTGTTTTAGCAATCATTCCTGATTGTAAATAAGTTATCTCAAAGATAGAGGGCTCTCTTCTTTAGAAGTGTTAAAAGTAATACTGGACTACCATTTGGGGAAAGGGAGAAACATTTTATAGTGAATTAGGCAAGACTGAGGGATAGGTGAGTAGCAAGTATGGCTTAGACTTAGAAGAAGAGTGCTACAGGTTTTCATTCCAATCCTGAAATTTCATGTTCATAGCAGGGTTTGAATCAGTTCTTCCCAGTTCAGCCAATGATGCGTAACTGGGGTAGACCCAAATTTGTAAAATGTAGTATACCTGAACAGTAATCAAGACAGGAAAAATTATAGGTTGATGCCCTGCTAGAAACTCAATCTCCCTCCTAGAAAACGAGGGCAGCATGCATGTTGCACAGTACCCAATCTCTTGACCGGCAGAGTCGAAAACAGCAGTGCCCAGTTCACAGATGGCGGCCAACTGCACCACTCTGAATGTGTGTTGCTTTGCACAGTCATGGCAATAATCTAGATTTCTGTATCAGGTTCCTGAAAAGGCTTCTCTTTCTCTTCTGAGTCTCCCATTCCAGGGCTTTGACCTGTCATTTTTCCCATTCTGGTTATCATTCTAGTGTACCTACATTTTACAAATATGAGTCTGTTCCAATTTCAATGTGCCAACCATGACTGAACTGGTTCAAACCAATTTGAAGTTCTGGTTTACAGAGGAGAAGGACAAAGACAAAGAATAAGTTCTCACCTTCCTTACTAATAATAGTTCTAGGACCTCGGACTCACCTGAGTTCCGGAGAAAAGTCTTTTTAAGTCCTTACAGGAAGACTGTGAAGTAAAAAATATGAAATGGGAGGCTGGGGTTATGGCCTACTTGAATGAATGTTCAAGACTTTTTTTTTTTTTTAAATAAGCTCAACTACAAAGATCTATACTGCTCTCAGCTCCATAAAGTTAAGTAGTCAGTCACCGTTCGAGGTCAATTGTGCCTTTATTTCCTTTGAATCCAATTAAAAAGAATACAATTTCTACAAAGAACAAGGGTAGTGTGTGTAATATAATCCCTGACCCTTAAGATTTACCTTATGAATATACCATTATATTCTAAGTTATATACTCTACCTAAAAGCCCTAAACACACAAATGTATTAAGTTCAAGTAATATCTTAAGTAAGTTGAATAAATACTGATGAGTTTTTACCTCAATTACAGGTTTAAAAGGTAATTACAAAGTTGTTATTTTTGTATATTAATTTTCCTTAACTGAGGTACATCTATCCAAAGTACCATATGGTAGCTGCTATCATATGATGACATTTTTTTTTCCACTTATTTCTACCTAGGGCTTTGAATTGGTTGGAAATGGTTCAGTCATGGCTTACAGAAACAAGGGCAGCATATGTACTATATAGCATCCAAATTTCTTGTGCGATTTTGACTCAAATAGGCAGCTAGGGATGCCCTGCTCAAAAATGGCAGCTGACTGCGCCACTTTGAACATTGTCAGTTGGCTGCCACCTTTAGGCGAGGCACTGCTGCTTGTTTGCTACTTGGGTCAAAATCCAACCTGCAAGAGATTTGGTTGCTATGCAATGCATATGCTGCCCTTGTTTCTGCAGTCCATGACGAACCGTTTCCAACCAGTTCAAAGCCCTATTTCTAACTAGGTGTCTAGTCTCTACACCAGACACAGTGTCTTCCAAACACTTCCAGTTTTTTTTTTTAATGTACTTAATTATTTACCCCAATGAATTTTTTTCTATAGTTTAATAAAGTCTTTTTCTTATATGTCTGGTATTGTGTATCTATGTTCCTATATAGACATACCATATTACTTTATTGTGAAATAAAATTAATTCTACTTGATGTGTTCCTATTTTCATAACTAATAAAAGGAGTGAGATATGGCTATAAACAACAGTTATGAAAGTAGATGCACAAGTTTTATACACATACCTGAACTGTCTGGACCTGTGGAGACTGAATAACTGATGGCTGGGCCGCCTGAATAACTCCATGGACTTGAACTGTCTGACCATTGGGCAGCTGCACTAAAGTTACCGTGGGAGCAGATGAAGTTGCATGAGCTGCTGGCATAGATACCTGAGGTGTTGAACATGGAAAAAAATTACCATCACAGATACCCTCTTGAGAGTACTCATGTTCAGTATGAAATAACTGTTGAGCAGCAAAAAGATAACCTTTCTGCTAGGTAAGTATTTCACTGACATAAAAGATAATAAATTATATTTAATATTCTTAAAAAACAAACAAAATACTCCCCACTTTTTAACTCCCTCCAACCAAAAAAATAAAACTATTTTAATGTACTTTCTGCCCTCTCTTTTGTATGGTGCTTTACATTTTCCCATCACTTTTATATCCAATTTTTCATTTTGCTCTTCAAAGAAATCCTGTAAAAGACTACATAATAAGGATTACCTTTATTAGAGATAAAAATAACCACTGCTCAGATTAAGTCATTTATTAAAGGTTAAAAGATATGCTAGCCTTGAAAAGCATAAGTCTTAAGATTATCATGTGTTAAATAAGCCATGTTCTAAACCTAATTATTCTATTACTGACTAGGGCTCTCAAATTTAGGCAAAGTGACATACTAAGTCTACAGCAAATACACACCTTACAACATGCAGCACTGTTTTCTCTTTTACTAATTACCTTAATAAGAAAGGTTGCTATGAGTTGGAATTGACTCGACAGCAACCAACTATGAACTACAACAAACATGTGTCTGGACAATATTAGAACTGAAACTACAAAAATGAGAAACATACAGGTCCATACTCAAGGAAATCATTGGGGGATGGGTACAGGAATAGAAGAGTATCAAAAGTAAATATATATGTTACTGGAGCAATGAGGTTTGCAGAGAAAAATGGGCACACTGAGGAGAGCTACCAACCCAATCTAAGAGTAAAGAGCTATCAGGGAATGATAACAGCCAGAAATAGAGGAGCTGTAGTAGTAGTAATGAGTTCTGGTAGCAGTGGTTAAGGCGTTTGGCTGCTAACCAAAAGGCTGGTGGTTTGAATCCACCAGCAGCTCTGCAGAAGAAAAAGTTGGCAGTCTGCTTCTGCCAAGATCTATAGCCTCAGAAACCCAATGAGGGTCACTATGAGTCAAAGTCAACTCGATGGCAGTGAGTTTGGTTTGGTTTGAGTATTAGTAGTAGGGATGAGAATGAACGAGGTGATTTAATGGAAATTAAAGAAACGGAGCAGGGCAGGGCTTTCTGAATGACTGGTTGAAGGAAGTGAGAGAGAAATCAAAGATGACTCAGTTGTTTCATGCTTAGGTGAGAACTAGAGATGGGCAGGCCATCAACTGAAGAAATAGACAATGCAAGAAGTAAGGAGAAATTTTTGGTTGGGTTGGGTGGTGATAGAAGATGATGGAACTGATCTGACATATGAATATGCAGAGATGTTTAGCAGGCAGCTGAATATTTGGCTGTGAAGATTGGAGGAAAGATCCCTTTATCAAAGGCAGAGTCTTTCACAGAAGTTACAATCAAGAACTTCCATCTTTGGACAATTAGGAAGTCTTCCTTATTAATCACTTTCTCTCTGGCCACTAACTATGTCTTATTAGTTCAACTTTTTAGGGAGTGGCTCTCAAGATGTGGTCCATGGATTTGAGTCACACTGGGTGCTTGTTTGAAGTTAGAATCTCTGACCAAAGGATACAGTCCTCTACGCTGAAGTTTGAGAACCAAACACAAGGTTTTTCAGACCATCTCATCTCACTTCCATATAAAAGCTCTTCTAACATCTGAAGCAATTATTATGCCCACTTCCATGAGTCTTCTATAGGGTAAACATAATCAGCTTATTCAATAAACAATTCCTTCTCTACCCTGATCATTCTATTATAATAGCTCCTTTAATTACAAGTTTATAAAATACAGATACACAAAGAAGGAAATAAAAATTATTTCTATTCCTACCACTCAGAGCTAATCACTAGTAGATTATCTAGGTGTTAAAGACACACATATATACTCAATTTTTTCAAAATGCTATCTTTAAAAACCCATCATAAATCTTTCCATACCATTAATATTCTTCTTTAATGGTTTAGTGACTGTTTCATATATTGAAACATACACATATATTGCTTAATGAATTCCTTATTATTGGCTATTTAGGTTTTCGAATTTGCCTATTACAACAAAGCTACAATGAACATCCTTTTATCTAACAAACTTAAAATCCATAAAAACGTACATGTTATGTGCCGTTGAGTCGGCCCCGACTCATAGTGACCCCTCCTTGGGTTTCCGAGGCAGTATCACTACGGAAGTAGGATTGCCCAACCTTCCTTCCGAGGAGTGTCTGGTGGGTATGAACCGCCAGCCGTCTGGTTAGCAGGCAAGTGTCTTAGCCACTATGCTACCAGAGCTCCCAAAAACGTACATACTCACAGTCAAAAATCAATATTGTTTTTTTTTGTTTTGATTTTTTTAAAAAAATCTCTGTAAAATCTAAAAGCAAAAGAGGGTATCTCATATTGTTTTAATGTAATTTTTTTTCCCTTTTACTAGTTAGGCTGAATTTGTTTTTCCTGTTTATCGACCAAATCACAATCATCTTGGATTTGTTTAACAATTTTATTATGTTCTAATATTCAGGGAGCTCTGGTGGCACAGTGACTGAGGCATCTGACTTCTAACCAGAAGGCTGGTGGTTCAAACCTACCAGCCACTCCTTGGAAGGAAGACTGGATAATCTACTTCCGTAAAGGTACCACCTTGGAAACCCAAGGAGGGGTCGCTATGAGTCAGGATTGACTAAACAGCAGTGAACTTGTTTGGAGTATTTAGAAACAGACATTAAAAAATAATAAGTATCAGAATTATGAGAGGAAATTACCCCAAAATGTATGATATATGTGATAAGGAACTTGGATGATCAAGTAAAAAATTCTGTAATTGGGATTTAAAAGAATAACATTAACAAAATAAGAACTGATACTAGCTTTCTGAAAACTCAAATTTGATCGTATCATTCCTCTTTTAAAAATATGATGAGAAATCAAACATGTGCTCATAATTGTGCCCCCTCTCGCCCACTTAAACTTCATGGAACTGCTTTTGTTTTAACAGGTGTAATATCATAAATGTAGGGAGCTCTGGTAGCACAGTGCATAAGGTACTTGACTGCTAACCAGAAGGCTGGCGGTTCACACCCACCAGCCACTCCTCAGAAGGAAGATGGGGCAATCTACTTCTGCAGTGATACTGCCTCAGAAACCCAAGGAGGGGTCGCTATGAGTTGGGACCAACTCGACAGCACATAACAATAACAACAGGGAGAATGGGAAAGTAGATAATAGTAACAGAGTTTTGGAGACTGAAAGTAGACGGATAAATGGTAATTTAACTTTGAAGACGTCAAAAAGCCAAGTTATAAGCTGAAGGCAGGTAAGCCACAGTATCCACAAGAGGCTCAGGATCTAAGGCACCCTGGAAGGACAAGTTAAAGGGTTAAAGGAGAGGCTGAAAATAAGGAAGGCTTGGTTGAAGTCTCTGAGATACAGGTGGGTTCTCTACTAAACTCCCTGTGGAAGAGCAACTAACCTACTCCACTCTGACAGAAAGATGGAGATTTAGTTTCTGTGGAGTAACAGAGGTACCAGGCATTGTTGAAGGTAGAGTACCAAACACAAGCTCTCTTTTACCATGTGTCTTCCAGCCATTTACTCTTTAAGGAGGGGTTTAATACAGCCTTCTCTGGGTAACCTGACCAACGCAAGAAGAAAGATCTAAAAGTTACTGACATTGGGGACCACTGCAACTACCCTATAGTCAAGCTCAGAGTTTCCAATACAACTTTTTGGTCATCTAATTTTAAACTCAAGGAGACAACTACAAATTATCAAACATTTGAGGAAATGTGAGAAAGATGCAGAACCAAACAAATGAGTGCAGGGAAGGGTGGTGAGAATGAAATATATAGAGGAAAATCTATGTGGGAGAAATAAAACTTAAGGGGAAAAACCCTCTAATGCTCTCAGAGAAAAGAGAAAAAATTGCCTTACACAAATAGGATGGCATTAAAAAACAAAAGGACTGTTAAGAGAACAAAAAAGAACTCTTGGGAGATATGATAACCAAAAAACAAACCCACTGCCAATGAGTGGATTCTGACTCACAGCAACCCCCACTGGGTTTCCAAGGCAGTAAAGCTTTATGTAAAAAGACTGCCCAGTCTTCCTTCCGTGGAGTGGCTGGTGGGTTTGAACCATGAACCTTTTGGTTAGCTTAGCTCCTTTGGGAATATGATAGTACTAATAAAAAACTCAACAGATGAGCTGGAATGTGAAATTGAAATCTCCCAGAAAACAGAAAGACAAAATAATAGAAAATAGGAGATAAAAGATGAGAAAATTAGAAGGTCAGTACTAAAGGTAAAACATTGGATCATAAAGATCCTTGGCCTGGAGCAGGGGAGCATCATAAACCAAATAATGTTAAGAAATTGCCCAGAATCTAAGACATGGGCCCAGAAAGTACATAGTACAATGGATAAAAAGTCATCCAAACTAAGGCCTATCAGAATGCAATTTTGAAGAACAAATAAAGATTTGATAAGGTGCCAGAGATACAAAATAAGAAATAAATTTAGTCTTCTCAAACAGCAAACCACAAGTTGACTGTGGATCAATGCCTTCAAAATAATTCCTTTACCCAAAAACTTCTTTCTCCCCTGACCACGTACTTATGAAGTTTCAGCTGTGTCCCTTTGTTCTTGCCACCTGTCTCAGCTGAATTTATTCATTTAATCTCTAGAAGGCTTTGTCTTATTCCTGAGGGCTGGAAGTACATCCTGATGAACTTAGGAGAAAACACAGAACAGCCTACTCCTTCTGATTACATATCCCTGCTGGATGCCCAGTTCTGGTCCACACTTTTACTGAGCCAGGAACCCCACTGTGGTAAACCCTCTTATTTCCCAAGACCCATTCTTGCTCAGTGACTCCCCTCTGAGTGCTTTTAACCATCTTGTGGAAGCTAAAGCTAGACATCCCAGAGCCTCTGTTCAGCTTATTTTCTCCTGGGAGACTTCAGCTGAAAGAGGCAATATCACACTCTCCTACACAGCAGATTTACTTTTGTTACTTGGTTTTTAGATTAACTACCTTTCTCATTCATGTGCATAAAGACACATAAATTATATATAATGTATATAAATGTCAAGACAATATTTGAGGAAAAGCACAGTAAGAAAAAAACAAGAATGAGAGACTATAACTTTTAAAGAGAGTCAAGACAAAAGGAAAGAATCATGAACCATATTTAAAACATGTTGTTGGGTGCCATCAAGCCCCTTTGACTCACGGCAACCCCATGTGACAAAGCAGAACTGCCCCATAGGGTTTGTTGGCTGTAATCTCTACAGGAGCAGATCATGAGGGAGAAGAAACAAAAATTACCTTCATTCTGGAAATTAACTTGGTGTCAGTTTATCTGTTTACCCTCTTTCTCAGTTTACCATATTTAAATTTAGCTTTTCCAGATTATCTGCACCACCATGTACCTAAAATAAATCTGCATACTAAAAGAAGCAGTTGTCACAGCCAGTTTTTAATCTTTGCTTGAGAGCAGATTAATTTGTCTATCAGTTAAAAAGTAGTTATTTCTGAATCATTTCACTACAAATACTGCATTATAGTCTTCAACAATACATTTTACTACTTTATTTCTGAATTAATACTATTATTTCTAAACTAAGGTGAATACTAATTCATACACTAAAAACACCTCTGTTCATTTTATGTGTAACTATGATTAAAAAACTATAATTTGTGTAAAACATACTCCTCTTGGAAGATGTAAGACTTGGTGAGACCGTTTCATGTATTTTTATACCTGGGCTAACGTGGCAATCTGTGGTTGGGCTTGAACCGCCATTTGTTGGTTTTCTGCTTCTGATACAGCTGCATCGCCACTCTGCTGGGTCTCGGCTCCAGATTCCATGGTCATTTAGTTACCTACAATCATATGGTAGAGTGTTATAAGCACTATAGTGCTGTGTGCTTTCTGGATTTTAAAGGCAAATTTCAAGTTATAACAGGTTTCCGAATGTACTTAGAAATCTAGTAAAAATATAATGTAGCTGAGTTATGGCTACTAAACTAGTCCAATCTGCTGAGCTGGAAAAGTTGTAGATTGTTAAGCAATCAACAAAACTTTCTTTTCCCTTACTATTCATTTCTAAAGGGCTATCACTCCATCTAGAGGTTAAAAACAACTCTTCTACCTGGTGGTGTAGTGCCTAAGGCATCTGATGGCTATCCAGAAGACTGGCAGTTCAAACCCACCAGCCACTCCTCTGAAGGAAGACTGGGCAATCTACTTCTATGGAGAAACCCCCTCGGAACCCCAAGGAGGGGTCACTATGAATCCAATCCAACTCCACAGCAGCTGATTTTTGTTATTATTATTATTATTTTATTAATACAGCTTACTGATATGCGGGTAAAAGGGAGGGCAGCAAAATTACAAACTGTTCCAATCAGGTATTGAGAGAGGATGGATAGAAGTGAGGTGATGCCAGAGCCTATGAGATACTGGCTTCTTGGTATCTCCTATAAGGGTATTCTCTCCTATAAGCAGCAGAGATACCAAAAATGACTCCTGTGGGAGTGGCTTTGGAGAGATTATTGGTAGGACAAAATCAGTCTAACTTTCTGGAGTCCAAGTTGTGAGGTATCAAGGTAGCAAGGTGAGGTGTAAGTGACCACAGAACCAAATGACAGGCCCCAAATACTGAAAACATTAAAGTACTCCAACTCCTCATCCCATGTGTAATATGCAACATCACAAGCATGTGCCGACACATGAGTATGTGGGGGAAAGGTAAAAATCTTCATTTTCACCTAGTTTTGGCTTGGAATAAAGTCTGTCTTCATTCTAGTGAAATGATGATCATACTTGTTTTTGTTTACACTATACCACATCATCACAATTTTTTGTTTCAGAAAATAAAATATTACCATATTATCACAAGGAATACAACCATTCAAAAGAAAAAAGAAGCCCAATGGGCACTTGACTCATGCAGTTGTTGTTGTTGTTATGTGCCATCGAGTCTAGCGACTCCTCCTTGAGTTTCAGAGGCGGTATCACTACGGAAGTAGATTGCCCAACCTTCCTTCCGAGAAGTGCCTGGTGGGTTTGAACCACCAGCCTTCTGGTTAGCAGTCAAGTACCTTAGGTATTACGCTACCAGAGATCCTATTTTGACTCATAGTGATGCTATAAGGCAGAGCAGAACTGTCTCATAGTTTCCAAGGCTATAAATCTTTACAGATGCAGACTGCCACATCTTTCTCTAGTGGCGAGTTCCAACCTTTGACCTTCAGGTTAGTTAGTAGCTGAGTGTTTAATCACTGTGCTACCAGGGCTGCATATAAATCTATTAGCTAATACAAATAAATAAAACAATAGCTGTAAGGACACATTCAAAATAGGAATGTGATTTTCATCCTTCTTTCTGCTCCAACTGGATATTCTAAACAAGTGTACCTTGCTTGTGCAATGGACAAGATTCCCCATTTAACTGCTAGTGTTTTAGATCATTTCATTCAGGCAGCCTTTGATCCTATCTGAAATAGCTTCCTTTTTTCAGGATAGTATATAACTCTTTACTTGATATTTAGACAACAGTACAAATACTTTTATATTACCAACAATAATTTAGAGGTATAATACCTAGAAACAGCTACCTGTAATACATACTACATTTTACAAGTGATTTGTTTTGGATGAAAAACTCACTGACTCAACCATAAACAGATACTGCTCTTTTGGTTCAGTACCTTGAAGGTACTAAAATAGCAGTCTCTCAAATAGATTAAGCCAACATTTAAATTGCATATATTAATTTTGGACTTTGAAAGCTTTTGCTCTCTTTTGTTTATATCCTCACTATACGTGGGGAAAGAAAAGATGGTATGGCACCATGTATAGCATCTTCAGGGTATTTTTGGTTTATTAGCCTGCTAGAAGTCTGGCCAGGAATTGCCAGGGGGTACAAAAGGTTAAGCACCAGACTACTAGCTGAAAGGCTGATGGTTCAAATCCACTTAGAGGTGCCTTGGAAGACAGATCTGGCGATCTGCTTCCAAAAGGTCACAGCTTTGAAAATCCTCTGGCGCGGTTCTATCCTACATATGTGGGGATGCCACCAGTCTGAACCAACTCAATGACAACTAACAAGTAGTCTGACCAGCAGCACAGTATCCATACACAAAATGAGGTATCAGAGCCAATAAGAACATTTTCAAATACAGGTTTGAATACAGGCAATTCTTTTCTTAAAAAAAGTTTTATTGAAATATAATTTATATACAGTGAAATATACAAAACTAGTGACATGGGTCAATGCTTTTTTTTTTTGTTGCAGTGTTCCCTCCTCTTCCCTCACACCCTGGTAACCAGTAAGGAAAATTTCCTTCCATATACAAATCTTTCCTTGGTTTTTTACAATAATGAACTAATACTATATTTGTCCTTCAGAATACAGGCAATTCTTAATGCACTACACAAATATTTCTGGGGAATGTTTAAAAAAAGGGGGGGGGGACTGTAAAACAAGAAAAGGAACAGGTACATGTGAACTGCATGAATACTAGGCCTGAAACATTAGAAACAGAATAGACCTAAGAAATCACTTAAAACTTAGTACTGGTTTGATTGCTCTGTGATTTATTCCAACAATACTGAATTTTCAAATTATTTTAAAATGGGGATTGAAGTTTGAGATTTGGGATTTCATAATTTATCCCTCAACATTAACTGGAACTAAGAATTTATAATTAATTACAAAATGATATCATTCCTAAAAGAAAACAAAAACCTTTTAACCAATTCACAAAGATGCATACTCTTTTTGTTTTGTTTTTAGCTTTAACAGAAACTTATTTTCTCACAGTTTAGGAGGCTAGAAGTTCAAAGCCAGAGTGCCAACCTAGGGGAAGGCTCTCCTTTTCTATCAGCTCTGGAGGAAGGTCTTGTCTCTACAGCTTCTGCTTCCTCATTCTTAAGACAGATACTCTTCTACCATAAAGGTCTTTAGAGTCCTACCCTCTTGACATTTAAAGTAAAAAGCAAAGTGATTCTCTGGTTTATTAACTCAATCCTGAGAAACAAAAATATTTCTATAGGTAGTCAAGCAAAGGATCCTAGCACTTGGTGGAAAGCTGGATTTGTTACGAAGTGGCAGTTGGCTGTTAGACAAATTACTTTTAACTTTTTATATGAGCTTCCTCATCTGTAAAATCAAGATGGATGGATTAAAAGATCTTTTAATTTTAAATTCTATGATCCTTTGATAGAGCTGTAGTGGCACAGTGGTTAAAGCATTCAGTGCTAACCCAAAGGTCGGTGGTTCAAACCCAATGGCTATTCTTCAGGAGAAAGATGAGGCAATTTGCTTTTGTAAAACATTTACAGTCTTGGAAACCCTATAGGGCCAATCTACCCTCTGTCCAACAGGGTCACTATGAGCCCCGTCACTATGACTTGGAATCAACTCAATGACAATAGGTTTGGTTTTGGTATGATCTTTTGGGGCTTTAGTGGCACAGCAGTTAAGCACTGAGCTGCTAACTGAAAGGTCAGCAGTTCAAACCTAGCAGCTGCTCTGCAGGAGAAAGATACAGCACTTTGCCTCTGCAAGATTATAACCTTAGAAACCCATGAGGCAGTTCTTCTCTGTCCTACAGGGTTCCTCTGAGTCAGAATCAACTAGATAGCAATGGGTCTTTTGGTTTATTATCCTGAGAACTGAAGCCACAAAAAGATCTATGTACACACAGGTAATTAGGAGCTCTGGTAGCATAGTGCCTAACGCACTTGACTGCTAACCAGAATGCTGGTGGTTCAAACCCACCAGCCACTCCTTGAAGGAAGATGGGGCAATCTACTTTCATAGTGATACTGCCTTGGAAACCCAAGGAGGGGTCGCTCTGAGTTGGGTCAACAACAACATAAAAAAACAAACTGACAGTCGATTTTAACTCATAGCGACCCCTCTGGGTTTCCAAGGTGGTAAATCTTTACAGAAGTAGACTGCCCAGTCTCCCTTCCACAGAGTGGCTGCTGGGTTTGAACCGCCAACCATCTGGTTAGCAAATGCCTTAGGCACTATGCCACCAGAGCTCCTTAGACATACTACGTAACAAAGCAATACAGTGAAGAAAATATTTTAAGCCAGATTTAATAAGAATAGGCCACAAAAACAGACACACATCATGGACTGCCAGAAGGATGAACCAGTCTTGAATAAATACAATCGGAATGTGCCTTAGATCTTGAGAGTTCATCTTGCTTACTTTGGACATGTCATTAAGAAAGACCCATCATTAGAGAAGGACATGATGTTTGGCAAAGTAGAGGGTCAGTATAAAAATGTGGAAATCCTTCAGTGAGATGGGTTGACACACTGCCTCAATAAAGGGCTGAAACATATCAAAGATTATATAGATGGCACAGGTCCAGGCAATGTTTCCTTCTGTTATACATAAGGTCCCCATGATTCTAAACCAACTCAGGGGAAGCTAACAAGTAACTAACACCATTCATTTCTATATATTATCATGAGAATGCACTACAACTTGAGAAAATTAGTACACCTACTTCTCACTTATCAACTATCCTGTTATCTGGCATTTCACTATTTCACATAGTAAAAACTCTACTATCCAACTATTTTGTGCATTATTGATGTATGCCTGGCGTACGAACACCCAGGCACAAAGCAAGTAATGGCTGGTTGTGAGGGTTAAGGTTATGCGTCAACTTGGTCAGGATTCTCAGTGGTTTCAGTTATATAATGATATAATTTGGAAGTTATGTAATGATGTAATTTGGCAGTTATGAATGATATGGTCATCCTCCATTTTTGCATAACACCAATTTTCATGCAACTACATCATCTCTGGAACCTAACCACATCTATAACTGAGGAGTGGGTGTACTTTTCTAA